AAATTACATCTATGATAATGAGAGTAGTAGCCACTACCTGTGGAAGTAAATAAGAGAATAGCCAAGAAATATGATTAAATCCTCGGCAAATTGCCTTGAAAAAAAAAACTAAGAAATAGTTTGGGCCCGTCTTACAAAAAATTATCTGGCTCCACCACTGCTCCCTATGACTCCATACGACTGTCAACCTTTTTAATAATTGTGCAAGAAGAAGTAAAGGACACGTGATGCTTATCTTTCACTTTCTGTCTGTTTGGATGGACTGAGGAAGCAGAACAGTGTGGTCRGGTTGAAGAACAAATCAGTCATGGATTATGGTTTGATTGTCTTCACCACAGACTGCACTTTATAGTTAGTTTGCAAAATCCACTTGTTTAGCCCTTAAATACATTTTGTTGCATCCTTGGAGTCTTTAAAATGCTCATTCGGTTCTGTTTATCTCTTTCAGGTGTCTGAGTCAGGATGCTAGAACAAATAACTGACTTCCAGGGTCAGAACTTTCCCAAGCTGAGGCGGGCCTGCTTGCGTCGGGGCGCCCTCTTCAAGGACCCTTTGTTCCCCGCAACCAACCAGTCCCTCTTCTACAAACGGGCCCCCCCACCGGGGCTGACCTGGAAGAGGCCAGGAGTGAGTCTGACCCTGAAAATAAACACCCTGCTCTCATTTTTAACCAACAAGCCGAACAAATAGCCGTTTTCCATCTGCGCCGCCTCCAGTTGCTGGTCCAAACTTGAGCGGCTGCCTCACCGTGTGTGGATTAATTAAAGCAACTTACTGTAATTGGAGAGACGTCGGGCAGAGAAACCTGAGCCCCCAACTGAAATAAAAACAGTCATCTTTGAAGCTTAGAATCAAGGTTGCACTTATTTCTGTCCACAGATGGACGAATGCGTCTCGTCAGGGCTCGAGGGTTCAGTCCGTCACCATGCAGTCAAAAATAAAAGTCTTATTTTAGGATTGAGGGAGCTTGTTTTGTGTTTTAACGCTCGTGATGTTTTCTGGCAGCTTGGGCTCATGAAAGCACTTGTTGTTCTCATCATCAGCTGTTCAGGGAGGGTTTTTTCCAGTTTGCCAACTACATTTAGTATGAAACCATACTTAAAATGAAGATGATTCACAATCTGTCGTTATCACTTCTTTACCATCAAGTCAAATAAGCTCACCTTCACTTAACATCATTCATGTTAGACGCATAAAGGTTTATAACCCCCAACATGTGTGGTGTGTGTTTGTGTGTTCAGCAGCAGTTCTTCAGTTACCAAACCCTGAGATCAACATTATCTGTCCACCCAGCAGATGATCTGACGCTCAGACTCAGCTTCCAGACCTCATAAACCCATRTGACGATACAAGCTGGTGTTGTTAGCATCACTCTTTACTCCTCATTACAGTCTGATTTTGAGCCTAAACTGAAATGTCAGTGTGTAAAATCAGGCTTTAGTAAAATAATAAAATACCAGTTTTAAGGTACAGCATGTTTCTTAGATAAAAATCMCTTAGTGCTACAATGCAACATGATACAACATGATAAAATACAATGGTAAGGTATTACATTTACACCAACATTATACAGTCTAGTTTATACATTATACAGGAGGTTTGGACCCAGGAATGCATATCAACACGAGGAATTTAAATAAGAAATCAAAATTCATTGTAAAAACAAAAGAAAATGTTACAAATAGTACAGCTGAGGGCAACTACAAGGAGGCACATAGGAGACTGGACTTGGCRTGTAAAGTACTCGATGCTCCACTGGTGTGTTGTGAAAAAATAAAATAAAATGGTCTGAAACCAAAGAAACAGAAACAAATTTGGAACAAATAACACAAAAACAGAGATTGTGACGCATATGGTAYAAGATTTGCTCACATTAAATTGAGTATAAGATATATTTCTTGTTAGCGTAATCTCTTTCCTCTGCTACCCAATCTAGGAGATATGTAAGGACCCTCGTCTGTTCGTGGACGGCATCAGCACTCGTGACTTGCACCAAGGCAGTCTGGGCAACTGCTGGATGGTGGCAGCCATTTCCTGCCTGGCATCTGAGCCCTCGCTGTGGAAAAAGGTCAGTCGACTCTTTTCATTTTATCCTTTGGTTACCTCAGTTTGCCTTTTTTATTACTTCCTTTTGTCCTTCCTTTAACTCCCATCTCTTCATTCCCAGGTCATCCCTGACCACGTGGGTCAGGAATGGAACCCAAAGCGTCCCGGCCTGTACGCAGGAATCTTCCATTTCCGGTTCTGGCGCTTCGGCCGCTGGAYGGACGTTGTGGTGGACGACCGGCTGCCGGTCAGCGAGGACGGAATGCTGCTCTTCTGCCGCTCAGCAACGCCGAGAGAGTTTTGGAGCGCCTTGCTGGAGAAAGCCTACGCCAAGTAAGCAGCAGCAGTAATAACAGTGAAATGACCAAGACTTATGCTACGTTCACACCGAATGCRTTTTGAGCGGCCAAAAAGTGCAAAACGCCTCTCGTTGGATGCACTATTTTCAGACCGAAGAACGCACTAGTGTTTAGACCAGAACAAGCGGCAGGTTCCCTGCTTCAACACACCTGCTACAAACTAGCTACCGCATAGCAGTAACATAATGACCCCCGCATGCACAAATGCACCAGAACTCAGAAGTCTTCATTTATTATAAATGTCATGCTACTAGGTGCATCCCAAAATACTAGTGGCTTGGGTGGGGGTCTTTTTTGGSGGGAGGGRGCATTGGTTGACCTGATGAATAGCCCCTCATCAAAGCTAAACAACCAAAGAAGATCTGAAGCGCYTATGTTTAATAGTTTTTGAGCAATAACCATTTTTGCATGTCCAGATACCTTTTTTTCAGAAAAATTGGGGGTCCGGGGGGGCACTGATTGGTGGACCTGATGGATAGAGCTTCATCAGAGCTAAACAACAAAAGAAATCTGAAGCTTCTATGTTGAACAGTTTCTGAGTTATAAGCAATTTTTCATGTCCTGATACCCCCTCTTTGGATGGAGCCCCCTCCTCAAATATGGGGTCTATTCGTAAAACCGTTAGTTGGCACAGTGAAGGTCAGACTCTTCTACAGTCCTGCCAAATTTCATGTTGATTGGTGCAGCCGTTTTTGTGCTACGTTGACCAAAAATCACTGAAAAATAAAAAACCAGATACCGCATAGCGGTAACTTAATGACCCCCGCACGCACAAATGCACCAGAACTCAGAAGTCTTTATTCCTAATAAATGTCAGGTGCATCCCAAAATTGTAGTGGTCTGGGTGGGGGTCTTTGGGGATGGGAGGGGGGTGGGACGGGGCATT